GGGGAGGAGAAGGGACAAAATGGGGCGGGGGGGGCAGCCCTGTGGTCCCTCAGTGCCGTGCATGGCACCCCACACCTCCATCTTTGCCGGGGGGGGCTCAGACACCCCCCGAACCCAGCCATACCTGTCTACCCTCGCTCCTCCAGACCCCGTTGACAGTCTTCGTAGGGGCGATGGTGACGACGGGCGGCGTGCTGGGCACGCTGTGCCCCCCCGGGGGCACGATGATGGGACCCATGGGGCCACGCTTGGGCGTGCTGGCGGGGGAGCTGTGGTTGGTGGCCGGCGAGGAGACCGGGGACGACTCGCTGCTTATCGAAGACCCTGAAATTAAATTAAAAATTCGTTAGGCGGGGAAAAAGGCAGCTGTTCACCAGGTAAAACCATGCTCTGACCAAGCTGAAGCCATCCCCTGGTGGGATGCCCCGCTGCAGGGACCAGGGATGGGGCACGGGGATGCAGGCAGGGGGGTCAGCATCCCTCCAGCCGCCCAGGCTGGACCCTCACCCTCCCATCCCGGGGTGTCCCAGTGAGCCCCGTCCCAAGGGAGGTTCTTTCCATTGCTAAAAGGCTTCTCCCCACACACTGGGACAGGCACCTTCTTGCTCCCATCTATAACAGGGACTTCCAACACCCCCCCACCTCCTGTAAAGCCCTTCACGGGCGCAGTGAGCCCTGCCCGTGCTGCTCGTCTTGGCACGAGCGCCAGCGCTGCGATGCCAACCCCGGGCAGCCACATCTTCTCCAGCCCAACCCGCGGACGCCTTAATCCGGCTGCAAAAGTCGCCGCGCACGAGCCAGGGCACTCGGAGAGGCTGGGATGAAGGAGCGATTCCCCGTAACCCTTGGGCAAGGCTTTGGCTTTATTTGCATAATACGTCTGTGTTTTAAATTATACCCACCCCGGGGACGCTGGCGATATTTCCAAGGGAACAACAAAAATGGAATTAAAGCGGAGAATGCGATGTGGGTAGAAAAGCAAAGCTGGAGCAGAAATACAAATCCAACATTAACTAGGGCACACGGTGCCCGGTGTCTGCTCCGCGGCACATCGCCTGCTCCTACAACCCAGCCAGGCAGCTTGGGGGGGCTCCTACCCCCCAAAACCCTGCTCCCACCAGCCTGGAGTCTGCACCAACGGGAAGGTTTCTGACGTGCCGGCCGGGACTGGCTACTGGCCACTGAGGAGGGGTGGCTCGTGGTCACTGCAGGATGTCAGCCAAGAGGAGATGATGCTCCCCCCATTTCAGCGCTGAGCCTGGTACCGGGAGGGGCCTTGTCCCCTCCAAGCGTGCAAGCCAGCTCCCCTGAGTGTGCAAGCCAGCTCCTTGCCCTGCAAGTGTGCAAGCTGGTTGCCCTGAGAGCCCAAGGTGTCTCCTTGCCCTTCAAGCTTGCAAGCCGGCTCTGGTAAGCGTGCAAGCCGGCTTCTTGCCCTGCAAGCGTGCAAGCCGGTTCCTTTGAGCGTGCAAGTCAGTTCCTCAGCACGCCAGCCAGCTCTCCTGGGCGTACGAGGTGTCTCCTTGCCCTGCAAGCGTGCAAGCCGGCTGCCCTGAGCGCGCAAGCCGGCTCCTCGCCCTGTAAGCCCACAAGCCAGCTGCCCTGAGCGTGCAAGCTGGCTCCTCACCCCACGAGCCCGCAGCTCATCTCCATCCCCCTCCGAAAGGCCCGGGCACAGGGAAGCGGGAGCATCCCCAGGCAGCGGGAAGGATGCTCGGCGGAGCGGAGGCCAAGCGGAGCAGCCCGCTGCCGGCCATCCTGCCTTATTAAATATTCCCGAGTCGCTCCGAATCGCTTTCATTTCAAGAGCGGCAAGACTCGGGGAAAGAGAAAGGCTGCCCGCGACAAAGGAGGCCGCCGATACGGATTTGACACCCACTGAAGTCTATCTTGTCAGCGCAAGGCCAACAACAATTAGCAGCCTAATCCCCTCTGAGCTGGGAAGCCATTACTCACCACGCGATAGCGTTAACAATCAATACCATCACAATGAGCCCGGCAATTAATGAAGCTAAAGTCTTACTTCAGAACCTTAATTCTCGCTGTGTGGCTTTAAACGGGAGGGTTTGTGATCGTTATAATTAACTGGTGGTATTCAGCCAGGAGTTAGTCAATGAAACTAATCTGGATTGGAGATGACAAGAGGCACAGTGTGATGGTGTCACCTTTGTTTTCTGACCTCCTGCTTTCCGCTCTGCGATAGCAGATTAGCAGCCCAGGCTGACAGGCAAATGTAATTAACAGCTGAGACCCTGAAGGAGGAGGGGGCGGAAAAAAAGAAAGGAAGAGGGGAGGGAATAAAACCCACCCCGCAGACAGCCCGGGGTAGGACGGGAGGCTGGAGCCCCCGGCCAGGCGATGGCTTCGGTGGCTTCTCGGGGCTTTGCTGAGCTGGAGTCGGTCGGGATGAGCCCCTGCAGCTGGGGATGCTGCGGGGGAGCAGGACAGCCCTACAGTCCATAAAGGCGGTAAAAAAGGCAGCGAATCACCCCACGGTCACCCCATGGGCTGCGTCTGCCACAGCGGAGCATGTCCCGATGTGGGAGGGAACGTGGGGTGAGGATTTGGGGGGCAAAGCAATTCATTTCTCAGGGCTAAAAAAAATGACAGCGTGGAGAGAAACCCCCTTTCTGACACGCCCAAACCCACGCCTGCTGAAATCCTCTGGGATGAGCCACTTTGAGCACCCGGATGGGTGAGGACGGGGTTTTTTTTCTTTGCAAACTATGCAGTCGTTAAGGGGAAATCCAAAGGGAACACGGCTGCTTCTCTCCAGCACCACGAAATCCATGCCAAGACCTGCTGACATCCCTTCGGATGGGCTGAGCAGCACGGTGGGGGCACGAGCCATGGGGTGTGGGGGGAAGAAAAGGCAAAATAATCCCCCAAACCCAACTGACCGCCCCGAAGGAGGCAGATGGGCTCTGGAGGAGGCAGATGAGGAGAACCAGGAGATCCCAGCGAGGCTGAAGCATTGCTGAGACCCGGTGACCTCGGTGTCACGGGGACGCAGAGTCCCCACGTGGCTCCTCGGGAGCAGCCAATGCCAGAGGCTTCGGGTCACGGTCGTGCCGGGGCATTTTGTGGCTGAAAGGGGAGGTATGAAGAGGGTCTTGCAGATGGCACTTGCAAAAAAGGGTCTTCCAAAAAGAGCCTTGTAAAAAGGGGTCTTGCAAAAAGGATCTTCCAGAAAAGATTTTCCAACAAGGGCCTTGCAAAAAAAGGTCTTTCAAGAAGGGCCTTGCAAAAAGGATCTTCCAAAAAGGGTCTTGCAAAAAAGGGTCTGGCAAGAAAGGCTTTGCAAAAAGGATCTTCCAAAAAGGATCTTCCAAAAAGGGTCTTTGCAAATAAAGGGTCTGGCAAGAAGGGTCTTCCAAAAAGACCCAGCAAACAGGGCCTTGCAAAAAAAAACCCATCTTGCAAAGAGTCATGTGTCCTCCCCAGAGACCAAAGTGCCCAAGCGGGGGGCAACAACCCAATGGGGAGCACCCACCAGTGGAAACACCAGGGATAAATATCGTTTTGTTGTAAATCGATGATGTCCGCAGTCTTCTGGTGAAATGCTTCACCGCCTGGGGACAGGCCGTGTCCCTGTGCGTGTGTGGGACAGCCCTGGTGATTCTGGACACGTTCCCTGCGGTGACAGGGATTTTGGGGTGGTCCAGCACCGCGGCAGCAGCTCACACCCCCCCATCGTGAGCTGCACCCCACACCCCAGCAGAGACAGGGGGTGTGAGGGAGGATGTGGCAGTCGGGCCATGTCGGGGTGACAAGGGACGGGGACATCTCAGGGGTGCCCGAATTTTCTGTTTAGCCAGTTTGGCTGGGGAAGGAACAGAGCTGAGGAGCCTCCAGGATAAAACAGCATTTTGGTGAAGTGTGGCGGGAGGGAGCGGGGCTGGGGGGGCAGGGAGGGGCAGGTCCCCCCCACACCGTGCTCTCCCAGGTTTTCCCCCAGGGTACAGGAGTGATGTGGCGTTTGGATTACTCCGCTGAATTGAATTTCTAAACTTCCCCCTCGAGACACGACGCCAGGGAAAGACGTTAGCTTGGGAAATGGCGAGGAAACGCCAGCTCCCGGGTGACGGCGGTGGGGAAAGGCACTGAGGCTCAGCGTGTCCCCCCTGCTCCACCCCTGGTCCTTGTCCCCATCCTCCTCCTCATCCCCTACCTCTGGGCTCCTCGGCTTGCTTGGCGAGCTTGCGGAGAGCAGCGGCGAAGCTGGAGGAAGGTGCTGCCTGGACGGACAAAGTGCTGCTGGCTGCCGGGCTGCCATTGGGGACGATGGAGCCGTTGAGCGGCGAGGGGGTGAGGGGGCTGACGGTGGCGGTGGTGCGGGTGGCGGTGGAGAGCATTCCTAGGGACGGCGACTTCGGCTCATGGCTCATGCCTGCGAACGAGAGCAGCTCGTGTTAGACCCCCCCCGGGGATGGGAGAGCGGATCCCCAAATCCCCGCCATGAGGAGAGGGAACAGCAAGTAAAACCTTCCCTTTAGTTGGCCACTCACCCTGAAATGCGCCCCGAGTTCATGCAATGGGGCTGGGGGGGGGGAAGCGAGAAGGTGGGCACCAGCCCCACACGCTTATGGGGTGGCAGATTCTCTAACAAAGTGAGTGCTCCCCAGCTGCTCGCCCGTGGGAAACAGGGTGATGTGGGGGGCCACCAACTGCCGCCGGCATTCACGGCTGGGCTGCTCCCCAATAACGGTGTGGGGGGGTCAGCGGAGCCCCACGGGAAGGGGGAGCGTGTTTCAGGGGGACACAGGGACCTCCGCGTCCTGATGAAGGTGGTGGGGAGGGGGGCACCCCCCTGGTTCGCAAGGTGCTGCCAAAAGCCAAGGCACCACTGCCACAGCCCTAATTGCCACCACTGCACCCCCAAATCCCTGCTGCTGCCCCCTCCGATCCCCCGTGCCGCATCCCTGGGTCCCCCAGCACTGCACCCCCAAACCCCCACCATTGTATCTTCGACTCCTCCCTGCTGCACCCCCAGGCCTTCACCACTGCACCCTCAAATCCTCAATAGTGCATCCCCCAGTCCCCAGCACTGCACCCCCAAATCGCCACCACTGCACCTTCAATCCCCACCGCGGCACCTTCAGATCGCCACCACCGCACCCTCAAATCCCCCATTCCAT